CGTTATTTATCAACACGTCTAGTCTGCCAAACGTTTTCATTGTCGTATCGTAAAGGCGTTTGACATCAGCCGACACCCTTAGGTCAGCCCTTACTTTCAATGGCTGTAATATAATTTAATTAAAAAAATTAAATTTTATTCAATATATAACTAAAATTTCTATTAAAATTGTATTAAAATTATTACAAAATATAATTTTAATTAATGTAGTATAAATATAACCTATTTTATGAATTAGTTTGTTTATAAAAATAGTGCGTGTGTAATTGTACAGTAATATTTGCATGATTATAAACCAGATTCTACAAGCACACTTTTGTATGCAAAATTCTTGATATTTAAATTATGTATTTAAATACATTTTACATACAATCATTAATTAATAAAATCTTAATAGATTTATGATGAGTGATTATAATAATTTAAATAACTTAGAGTATAAACAAATACGTGATATAATTAATATTATATGATAATAGTGATAGAAATAACAATTATAATAATAACAATCATTGCGACTAATACTAATAACTAATATAATATATTATAATATTATTATAAATTTTATACTGTACACTACTACTAATACCTAGCTACAATATCCATATTTTAATTCAACATAGAGTTACTAAACACAACAAAAAAACAAACCCTAACATTTGGTAAGTAAATTTATTTTATAAAATATTCAAATATACCTTGAGCTTATTAGGTGATAACTCTTGAGCCTCTTGGGCCACGCTGTCTATGCGGGATTGGTTACGTCCGGTGACCACCACATTGGCACCCAATAGGGAAAATAATTTAGCCACACCCGCACCTATACCCGCACTTGACCCTGTTACCAGGACCACTTTACCGGTAAAGTTACGCGAGTCTCGGACCGCTAGGTAGTCGGATATCGGGTAATCATATTTATCGCAACTAGCACTAGCTATGAATAGCACAATGGATACTAAAATTAGTTGCGAGTTCATATTGTCTAGGTTGATATTATTTAAACTTGATAAGTTTAGATGCTTTCAACTATTGGTAAATTAAATCGTGAGTTGACGTGAAGGTATTTATAGTTTTGAAAATGTAATGATTTATTTTTATTTTTAAAAATTACGTAGCTATCAAATTATGTAACAGGTGCAAGCAAATGCACTTGATGTACCACATTAATTATACAGTATGTCATTTTTTAATTAAAAATATTACAGTCTGTACAAATATTACCAAGATAGATAGTTATAAACAGATATTTATTGTTTGTTCAATCAATTTCCGTTTAATATTTTAAATTATTGTCTTTTTAGCTGTAGTTGTTAAAAGACCTTGATAATGGTTTAGTACCTGAAATTATAAGTTGAATGGTAATTACAGTTAATTCACGGGCTTAAGAGCAAATTTTCAGTGAAAGTGTACTTGCTGCACGAAATTATTATACTAATTATTTTGAATATACAGGTATGTGATTATATTTTTTATGTTGTAGGTACAAGTATTGTATATTATGTAGTGAAATGTAAGTAACAAACTGTGTGTAGTATACGGAAATGGAAATTAAACTCTACTTTCATATGATATAAAAGCTTTATAAATTTTATATGAAAGCAGAGTTAAATAGTGTTTTTGTATCGTATAACCAGACTTATATTAAATTATTACTTATACACACGCAACTTAGAGAATTATTAATATATATATTAACAGTATATTAATATTAATTAGCTAAAATAATGAAGTTATTATGTATGTATAACAAATATGAATTATGTATTTGAAAACAAATTTTATTTTTAAACATAATTGATTTTTAATAATGTGTTGGCTTTTAGGAGCTTGGTCGAACAAAAATAAATTATACAACTATTTTTGATACACTAAATTATAAATTTTAATTTAAATTAATTTTGTATGAGAAATAAATAAACTTATTACTAATAAGCTATTATTATTGTTTTAAAAAGTAAATTTAAAACTGATTTAATAAACTTTTAATTTTGATATAAGTGTTTTATATAAGGTACAAATATTATTTATAATTTATTGATTATTAAAACGTTAAACTTTCTTATATTAGTTATTATCTCAGTATTAAAACAGTATTTAAAAATATATTTACATTATGTACACTACCAATATGAAAATATATGATATCACAAACCAACCTATTTTGGGATTATTTTTATTTTACAGTTTTTTATTATCTAATGAATTTTTAGCGTAAATATTAAAATATATTTTGAAAAGTATTAGCTTTTGAATTCAGTAGCCGTTAGGTGTAAATATAAATATACTTAATGTATGAATATAAATTATATAATACTAATATTAAGTTTTATTCATAGTGTTTAAAATCAATAAAATAAAAAAAGTTATGATACAATATAATGATTAGAAACCGCCAACATAACATGAAAATAATATTTATGTTTATGCGCAAGCGCACTATTAAAGTACAATGTACATAATTACAGTTAGCTAAAGTCCATATGCACTAACTATTATCGCAATGTGTTTTTACCTTGAAACACATTAAATAAAAATAAATACGCAACAGCATTTAGTTAAATATTGTTAACAAAATGGATAATTCTGATACAATTAATCCCGGTAATACTCATCGAATGTGCCTGGTCTGTGGCGATAAATCATGCGGTAAGCCCCATTTAATTAGCTAGTAAGTTATATTTGATTAACAAAAATAACCGGTTCATTTAAGGTTTCAATTTTGATGCCATGACGTGCGAGTCGTGTAAATGTTTTTTCCGGCGAAACGCTATGAAAGTAAACATTTTTTTCAAACAAAACATATTGTTTTTGTGTTAATGACATATGTTTTGTATTTTTAATAGACCCTGTCGTGCAAGAAAGGCACTGAAAAGTGTAATGTAAACCTGAAAACCCGTAAAAAGTGTCCCAATTGTCGGCTTAACAAGTGTTTAGCCATAGGAATGAAAAAAGTAAGAATTTATTTGAAAACTGTAAATAATTTTAAAATTAAAATTTTATAGCTATTATATAAGTTTGAAAAGTATTTTGGTGTATAGAAAACCTATTGAATGTCTTTTAATAATGTTTGCATTTATTGATTTATGTTATACCACTATTTTATACATTATAAAGTAAACAAATTAATTATATACATTTAACATGTCAATCAATAAGATTTCTTAATAATTAAGAAAATGGCAATTATAAATTAAATTACAGATTAATTATATTATATTATCTGAACTATAAAATAATTTTTATAATTACAGTATCAAGGTTGTTTAATATTTGAACTAATCACATTTAAATTATTACCACAGGAATTAATATGGGACTCACAAAAACGGTATAAACGGCGCTACATCATTGAACGAAACCGTGTTAAACGACATAGGTCACTTACTAGTCAGAACCAAGTTACCTCAACAAGCAACTATTTGTTGCAAAACATGTCATTGCAAAATTCAACCATGACAATGTGTCCAAGTGCAATTTCCGATTTGACAAACACTATAGATGGCAACCCTATCAGCGATTTAGACACTAATTTATATGAGAAGGCATTCACGTTAGGCATGTCTGTGGTGTCGATACCGCCGCCTATCGTGGACTATAAAACTATTTTTAATGAACTCGAAGGTAATAGATTTACCGAGCTCATTATGGCCATGGATTTAATTAAAGTAGTGCCCGCCAAATATATTTCCGAGGTAACTTCGCTTGGTGATTTTTATCTCGCTAGTGACATACAACGTGATAATGATATTAAGAATGTAGCCAAGGTGTTTAAAAGATTAGTATCGTTCAACGATATTTGTGACCATGATCAGTTTGTGTTGCTAAAGCATGGTGCGCTGGAATTACATTATTTACGGTGTTGTACCTATTGGAACTACGACAAACAAAGTTGGGTTGTAAGCATGGTAAGTTAAAATTAACTTATTAAAAGTATATTTATTTTACAGTTAATGTATAAGGTTAAAATTGTTTTTTATATTTGTTTGACAAATTAGGATGACCACAATGCCATGAATTTGAGCATGGACTTTGTACAGTCGATTCAGCCAGATAATAAAACACACGCTTTGTTCAGAGATTATGTGAATGACATGTTTATCGAGATTAATCATGATTTTAACATCATTAATTTAGTATGTTTAATTATTCAGTTACAGTACGTCAAAAATTTATTAAAATAATCTTTATAATTTATTTTAGATGACCGCTATTATTATGTTCAACCCCTACCGGAAAGGGCTTAAGTACAAACACGTTGTTAAGTAAGCTAGATAACAATTTTAAAAATTTATAATTATATATATTCATTAATAATCATTCATCATTATTAATGATCTTGATTATAGATTACAGCAACAGATTTACATGCATTTACTCCGACGGTATCTACTCGTGAAATATCAGTGCGAGGGGAAGGCCAGTGATAAATACCGGCGCCTTATGAATACGTTAACCGATTTATATTATTTGGAAATGTCGTACAAACAGATCACCCTGAACAGGGGTGACAAAAATTGGCTGAACACGCCTTTGTTAAGAGAAATATTAACATGCTAAATACATTATGTTGTTAAATTATTAGTAATGTTATATTTAAATAAATGTTATGTTTAAATATTTTATTAGTATATTTAAATAAAAATAGAAATGTTTATTTTCAATATAATTACAAAAGTTTTATTATAAAATTAATATAAAGTATTTAGTCGAGGGAGTGATTCTGGACAATACCCCCGTTGGTGAGCACCTCCCCTGCGATCAACTTAAGGGTCGAGTAGTTTTTGAGATGTTGTGTCGAATAGAGACCATTCAGGTTATCCGCCACACGAGCCGATGCCTACAAGTCATACATCATATGATCAGTCATTTGAAAGCTCTTTAATTTTGAGAGAGAGAGAGAGGGAGTGATTCTGGACAATACCCCCGTTGGTGAGCACCTCCCCTGCGATCAACTTAAGGGTCGA